CATATATAGTCCAAACTAGAAAATGACACAGATGCACTTCAATGGGCAACCCATATTCAGAGTCCATGCTCTCAATCTGATTAATTATGCTTCAAGAGGGCATGTGCTCTAGTCCTTCCTGCTTTAAGTTCAACCTCACATTAGGTTAGGGTATAGGGAGGAATGAGGCTCAGTTTTTTACTTGCAAAATAAAACCAGTATGATTTCTTTCCTCCTTCCTTCACCCTGTGTTGCCTATATCATAAGAAATAAATTGAGGGACTCTTTACAATATCAAGACAATTGAACTCACTATTTGGGTTTAATGTAATTTTCCTTTTTTGTTTTTAAATTGAGGTATAATGGACATACATTATATTAGTATCAGGCGTACAACATAATGATTCTATATTTGTATATGTTGCAAAATGATCACAATAAGTCTAGTTAACGTCCATCACCATACATACAGAACTTTTTTCCTTATCTAATGTAAATTTCTTTAAGGTTAATTCTTATCCTTAATGTCTGATAATGCATTGTGATAAAAAAATCAAAGATGCCTATGGAACAAAAGTTGAAATATTTTAAATTGTGACTCATGAGTCTTTCATTAATTATTTATAAAATAGAACACAGTTTGTTTTGGAAATTGTTGACTGAAATATTAAAAGTTATTTTAGACTTTCCAAATCTGTTTCTTGAGGAAGGAAAACTCCTATAGTCTCAATTCAGTCAAAATTATTTTCAAGGGCACTATGTTGAGAAGATTTAAAATGATGATAGCATGTTTCCATATCACATTTCATTAAGACAACTCAAACTAAATATAGCACCGCAAAATTGATCAAAATCTTAAGTTTAAGTTCTTAGTGTTCCAGGAGCCTTGTATACAAGGTTTCATTATGTGTGTGTATAATTCTTTAGGTTTTTTTTTTAAAGATTGGCACCTGAGCTAACATCTGTTGCCAATCTTCATTTTTTTCTTCTTCCTCTTCTTCTCCCCAAAGGTCCCCAGTATATAGTTGTACATTCTACTTGTAGGTCCTTCTAGTTGTGGCATGTAGGATGCTGCCTCAGCATGGCTTGAGGAGCAGTGCCATGTCTGGGCCCAGGATCCAAACCAGTGAAACCCTGGGCCTCCAAAGCGGAGCCTGCGAACGCAACCACTTGGCCACGTGGCTGGCCCTGCATGGGTTTAATTGTATTTTTAAAGAACCATTTCCTATGTAATGTACAAATTTTTTAAATTAAAAACATATTATTTTTCAATGCAGAAAACTTGGAAAACATGATGCCATTGCCTAAGATAACCACTGTTAATAGTTTGGTAAAAACCTTTACAATATATTTTCATGCAATATATGTATATATTTTCTGTACAGAACTGATTCCACATATATTATTTGGCAGTCTTCTTTTTATAGTTACATTAAGATGTTTTCTGGGGGCCGGCCCCGTGGTGTAGCAGTTAAGTGCACACGTTCTGCTTTGGTGGCCGGGGTTTGTCAGTTTGGATCCCAGGTGTGGACATGGCACTGCTTGGCAAGCCATGCTGTGGTAGGCGTCCCACATATAAAGTAGAGGAAGATGGGCATGGATGTTCGCTCAGGGCCAGTCTTCCTCAGCAAAAAGAGGAGGATTGGCAGCAGATGTTAGCTCAGGGCTAATCTTCCTCAAAAAAAAAAAGAAAGATGTTTTCTCCTATCAATATTATTCTAAAACTTCATCTCTAATGGCTGCAGAATATTCTATAGTACAGTGTTTAAAAAATGAAAATATTTTTTTTTGAGAATCAAGTGATGTGTTCATTCTAAAAAATTCAGACAGTGCAAAAAATACAGAAATCATAAAATTTATGTCAACCATAGGTCTACCTTTTAGAAATATACACTTCCAGACTTTTTCTCTCTTTCTCTCTCTCTATACACACACATAAAATATTTTATGTGATTATGTATGCTGTTTTACTTTCCCTTTTTTAAGAAATTTTATTTTGACTTTTTCCCATAGTTTTATTAAGATATAATCTTTTCAAGACGATGAAAATAGATCTACATCAAAATTTTTATTCTTTTTTGCTGAGGAAGATTAGCCCCGAGCTAACATCTGTGCCAACTATCCTCCACTTTACATGTGAGTCACTGTCATAGCATGGCTGATGAGTGGTGTAGGTCTGCACCTGGGATCTGAACCCATGAATCTGGGCTGTTGAAGTGGAGTGCACCAAACTTAATTACTACACCACAGGGCCGGCTCCAACATCAAAATTTTAAAAGTTTGTGTAATATTCCATCTTGAATATAACATGGGAGCAGCAAACAGGATCATTGATGTGGGCTCTGGAAATGGAAAGGAGAGGGCTTAAATCTTAGTTCTGCTATTTAGAACATGTGTGATCTTAGATAACTGACTGGTTGCTACAAATCTCAATTGCTGAATGGAAATCAAGAGGTCTACCCAGCAGGAATAGTAAAGTGTTAGTGGGAAGGGGGAAGGGTCCAAAATCAAATGTTTTTAGTATGCAAGGCCTGAAAAGGACCAATCTTTATTCTTCAAAGTTCAGATAATATGGAAATGCTTTGGCCTGTATCCAAAATGGAACTTTTGAAGCCCTACCCAAAGTCACTCACATTGAGAGACAAAACCAAACAACACACTGAAGGCCAAAACAAATAAAAGAAAGAAAGAGAGAGTGAAACAGAGACAGAGAGAGACAGAGAGAAAGAGAGAGAAAGGAAGGAAGGAAGAAAGAAAAACCCATGATGCAAACTAGGACCCTCATACATTGCTAGCGGGAATGCACATAGCGGCACCACTTTGGAAGAGTCTGGCAATTCCTCAAAAGGTTAAACAGAGTTACCATATGAGTCATCAATTCCAATTCTAGGTATATACTCAAGAGACATGAAACCACACATGTGTCTATACAAGAACTTGTACAGGAATCTCCACAGGAGCATTATTCTTAACAACCAAAAAAGTAGAAATGACCCAAATGTCTATCAATGGATGAATGAATAAATAAAATGATGTGGCATATCCATACAATGGTATATTTGACAATAAAAATGAGTAGTGATACACGCTACAACATGGATGAACCTTGAAAATGCTATGCTAACTGAAAGAAGCCAGTCATAAAAGACCACATATTGTTTGATTCCATTAATCTTAAACGTCTAGACTAGGCAAATCTATAGAGACAGAAAGTACATTAGTGGCGGTCTAGGGCCTGGGGGTTTGGGGTGAAATGGGGAAAGACTGCCAACAGGGACTGGGTTTCTTTTTGGAGTAATGAAAATGTTCTAAAATTGATTGTGGTAATGGTTGCACAACTCTGTGAACATACTAAAAACCACTGACTGTACACTTTAAATGGATGAATTATATGGTATGTGAATTATGTCAATAAAGCTGTTAAAAAAAGAAAAGCAGGGCATTATACTTCTGAAGGATCAGAATAAGATAGTAAAACGTTGGACAGATAAAGCTCTTAATAAGTGGTGGCTATTACTCATTAATGGGTATTTAGTTTGTTTTTCACGTGATGGCTATTTACATTTTCCTCACCATGATCAACATTTTTCTTTTTTAAAGATTGGCACCTGAGCTAACAACGATTGCCAATCTTCTTTTTTTACCCCCTTCTTCTTCTCCCCAAACAACCCCAGAACGTAGTTGTATATTCTAGCCCTGAGTGCCTCTGGTTATGCTATGGGGGACCCGGCCTCAACATGGCCTAACCCTTGTCGGGGCCCAGGATTCCAACAACCGAAATCTCAAATCTCGGGCAGCCAAAGCCAGAGGGAGAACCTGACCACTCGGCCACGGGCCCGCCCCACGATCAACATTTTCAAAAGAACATCCTGTACATAGCAATACCATATTGAGCACTTTCGTAGCCTTCATTTCCTTTCCTAACCTTTGGAAATGTAGAAGTGCTGATCAAATGTTACGTACATCTTTTTAGGACGCGCCTCCCCGCAAAGGCTGCGTCAGTGGGCATTTCCTTGAGTACAGAGCGCCGGCAAAGCATCCTTCTTTAGAGTTTTTCTGTCAAAATGATAATACAACACACACATAAAAGAGTCCTTCTAGTATTATTTCCAAAGGCCCCGCCTTGGGAAAGTTTTAGTATTGTTAAAATAGACATTCAAAGGATCTTCGTCATAATGCTTAACAGTACTGGTGTAGGTTCTGTTAGAAAAGCCATACGAGATGATTCCGCTTTGATTCCATTTGTGGGAGTTCGCGTGCATTACTTAGGGAGAAACGTGGTCTGCGGCTCTACTAAGTTTCCCTGACTACTTCTAACGAGGGAATTAACCCAAACTCTGCTGCAGGCTGGGCACACGTCTAAGTCGCGCTGAAAATACTTAGGTTGACCTTTAAACAGCTAAAGGCGTAACAGGTGGGGCGGCGGCTCGGCCCAACTGTGCGGAGGTGGGGAACCGTGGAATTTGAGTCAAGAGAAGTCCACTGATTTAAAAAAAAAAAAAAAAGCGATGCGAAAAGAATTTGGAGCACAGAGTCTGTCCATTTTTAGGATCCCTCCTGCGCCCAAAAGGTTGCGCCAGTGGGCAATGGGATCCCCAAAGGCGCTGCTCCTCAGGTGAGGAAGCTGCTCCAGGGCCGCGGGCACTTCGAGAAGTTTAAGCGGAGGATGCCCGAGCGCAGCGCAAGGCAGGTGCGTGCGGCAGACGGCGGCCGGGCAGTTTCCTCCAGGTCGGCTGCAGGCACCGACTGGCTGGAGCGGGCGAGCGGCGGGCACGAGGCGGGGACGGAGGGGCGGGTCCGTGAGGGGAGGGCGATTGTGTCGGGAGGGAGCGGGGCGTAGGCGGCGGCGGGCGGAGCCCAGCGATGATGTAAGGAGCCGAGGGATCCCACCGGGAAAGTCGGCGCGGCGCGGTGAGACCCCAGGGGTGTGGGGCGGGGGATCCCAGTCCCCGCCCTGTTTTCCCCGCCCCTCCCCCTGCCGCCTGCACGCCCCTCCCCCCTCCTCCCCTCTGGTTGGAAAGTTTCTAGAATCTCTTCCCAGCGGCCTTTGCGGTTCCAACATGGCGGAGCTGACGGTGGAGGTTCGCGGCTCCAACGGGGCTTTCTACAAGGTACCGACCCTTTGACTGCTTTGTCGGGTCCGCCTGGGGTTGGGGTAGGTTTGCGGGAGGGTTGGTGGTCCGGGAGAGTTAGGTTTGGGGTCGAGAAGGGCGGCCAGGCCCCAGCCCGGGGCCGCCGGGTTCCTCGCTTCTCCCCCCTCCACCCGCGGTTTAACGGTCTCGGGGGCCCGGCCTCCGTTATGTTTTGAAAGAACACGCCGGACACCTCCTGTGCTTTCCTGCTGATGGACCTTCTTCGCGGATGCTGGCGCAGCCCTTGGCGGGCCGGGGAGGAGAAGCCGGGCCGCTGCTGGGCGGCGGGGAGCTCCCGGGAGCAGGCCTGGCCGGGCGGTGGGAGTCGGGGAGGCGGCGGTGGGATTGTGTGGTCGCGGCCGCTCCCCCGCCCCTCGGCCAGGCCGGGCGGGAGCGCCTCTGCCGGGCGCCGACCCCTCCCCAGCTCCGTGGGGGAGCGCGTCTCGGAATCTTAGGAATTCACCTTTGTACTGGGGTTTTGCGCTAATAAACTTCGGTGTCTGGAGGGGAAGCGGGGACCGGATTGAGGGTTAGGATCGAAGAAAGAAAACTAGAAAACCTTGAAATGGGGCAGGTTGAAGTATTTTTGCGGCCTGGGAAATTGGGCGGCGCCTTCGCCCCTCTATTAGGGAAGAAAAGGCCAGAGTTCTAGGCGTTAAAGTAAGACTTAAAATGTGAAATGGATCACAGAGACCGGTGGGGAGGTGACCACTTTCTTTCTATTAGTTACCCAGTGTTTGTGGAAGGAAGTGTTGATTTTTGTTTGTTCCCCCACGAGGTTTTTTGTTTGTTTCCATCGGGAGGAAGGAAATGCATTACTATGGGAATCGCGGCTGGAAAACGGAAGAGGAATTCGAGAGTAGAGGAATTTAGTAGAGCTTCCAGCGTAGGGGTCACAGAACTGAAAATGAAATCCTTAAGTTTGGTTTTGCTTTTGTAACAGTTCCTTCTCCCTGTTCTCCCAAAGTGTGCCACGATGTTATAAGATCAATACAGAGTCTCCCCAGCTGTTGTCTGTCAATCACTTTCGCTAAGCCAGCATCTCAAATGTTTGAGAGTGCTGGCTATTTTTATGGAGGGCCTTCTCCTAATACAGGACTAATGTGCGTACGCGGGAGGTATTCTCACTGGGTTTCCTTTCAGCGTACCTTTTATCCTACGGGGTTTTATTTGATTTGGTGGTCGTGATTTCCTATTTGCAGCGTTGTTTTTCTTTCCTAGTTTACTCATTAGCTGTGTGGATTTGGTTTAACTGTCACGTGGTGAGAGCATAGTGGGGAATCACTGTTGGCGTCTAAAGGATGTCCCTAAGCTTTTTACAAGTTTAAATCTCCTTAGGTGGTCAACATAAAGTGAAAACAGTGTCTGCCTGGTGGAAAGGAGTGTTTCAAAGCGTGACGAGTTGCATCAGTAGTCTAGGTTTAAAACTTGGTGTCAGACAAAGGACCTAAGCGAAATTTGAGTAGACGTTTCGTTGACTCCAGTTCTTATTGAAACCTAGTGGTTGCCGTCTCTGAATCACTGCGGATACAGTTGTGGCACAATGCACGAAGAATGGGCTTACCATGCTTTTCCTGTTAGGGTAGAAAAGGTTCATCATTTTTGCATCAACCACCCCCCCCAACTCCCCCCCGCCCCCAGAATTTCAAATTCTCACTATTTGGCTGTAGGGTTCTTGTTTAATGGACGTGTGCATTTTTTTTTCCTAGCATATTGAAAAATAGAAAAGGATTATTTTGCCTTTACAAATCACTTTGCAGTATGTAAGTGGTAGATAGGCGACATCATTTCTTTTTAGCCAAGTATATTTTATTTATTTATGTTGGTCACCAGCTATACAAGATATTCTTTTCTTTTTTAATAAGATTCATTAAGATCATCAGTTTGAAAGTTTTAGTAAAGGTTGTTTACAATCTTACTTTGGTTTCACGTATTTTTTTAAAATCAATTTATAGTAAATGCTCCCATTTTGGAGCTATGAAGTGTTTATTGTTGGTCCCTATCCATGCTTTACAAATCTGCTTGATTAGACTTGGACTCCATTAACCATTTTTACCGAACAGAGTAAGGTGATTCTTTGGCAGAAGTTGGGAAGGACGCTAGCTACGTTTGTGTGTACTAAAATAATTGCACTTGAACGTTTGGAGTTTGTGTTCTGCCATAATCCACTGGCACATGCACTTTGTGGAAACTCTGGTCTTCAGAACTCCAGAGAGAGAATGGTGATGTGGAACCATCCCTGCATTTGAAGTTAAACAAATTGGAATTCCAGGTCTGTACCTCAGCTTGTCATTATCTAGCGGTGGACTCCTGAACAAATCTCTGTGGATCTGTGTTCTTCTGTGTAAAATGAGGGGTTTGAAGTATTCAGTAGTCCCTGGCATATTTTTATCCCATCAAACCGCCCACTTGGGAAAAAACTGGCTTACTGCACACGCAGTTTATTATTTTTAACTGCATGAAATTTTTGAGATTCATTTGCATATAGTAAAATTCACCTTTTTTGGTATACAGTTATATGAACTTTGATAAATGCTAGAAGTTGTGTAACCACCATCAACATGATGAAGAGAGAGAATAGTTACACCATTCTCAAAATTTTCCTCGTGCTCCTTTGTAGTCAGCCTCTCTCCTCACCCCCAGACCCTAGAATATTTTCTATCCCCATAGTTTTGCCTTTTTTCAGAATGTCATATATGTAGAATCATTCAGTATACTGTGTAGCGTCTTGAGTCTGGCTGCTTTCATTTAACTTAGCAGTAACTTACTTTTAAGTAATTTTTTCTAATTTAAAAAGTAATACACGGTTAGTGAGGGGATTTTGGAAACTATCAAAAAAACAGCTGCCTTGAGATAACAGCTGTTAACACTTTGGTGTAGTACTTTTTCTTTCACTGGTGGTTTTCAGTGTAAAGGTGATTCTGATTTTTCTCCTTGTCTCCCCTTCCATTCCCCCATCTTCACAGACACACACACTTGGCTGTAAATGTGCACTGCCATTGAAGAATTTCAAAGTCATGGGATTAGTAGCCAGTATTATCATGCCTTGAGGCAGTGCTCTGTAGACATTGATTAAAGATTTTCTAGTGGAACTGAAACTTGATTTCACAGATTAATTGGAACCAGTGAAAAGCTGAAGATTTGACCTCAAATTAGGATAGTCTTTTTTTCCAAAAATATTTACACAGGGGCTGGCCCCGTGGCTGAGTGGTTTAAGATGGCCTGCTCCGCTTTGGTGGCCCAGGGTTTCGCTGGTTCGGATCCTGGGCGCGGACATGGCACCGCTCATTAGGCCACGTTGAGGCGGCATCCCACATGCCACAACCAGGAGGACCCACAGCTGAGATACACAACTATGTACTGGGGGGATTTGGGGAGAAAAAGCAGGGAAAAAAATAATTACACAGATGGTAGCAAGCTAAATTCTTTGTTCTGCTTCCTCCTTATATATTTAGCCATGGATCTATAGTTGTTAAAGAGAGAAAAACTTGGTATGCTCCTGTTTACAACCCTATAAATCTATGGGGATTGGAAAGGATGGAAGATATGTTAATTAAGCACTTGATGGAGGATATCATTTTATATAAAAGTTTGGTTTTATAGCTTTTCTACCTGGAGCGCAGCATCTTAGGGTTTATACTACTGGCCACTTCACGTGCCTTTTTTTTTCTTTTGAAAGCTTTGAAGTAGAATTTACGTTCTGTGATTGTTAGTCTATTTACAAAGTTGTATAACTATTACCAAAATCTTATTTTAGAACATTTCCATTACCCCCCAAAAAACCTTGTGCCCATTTGGAGTCATTAAAATGCTTTTTAACTGATGTATATGATATTAAGCTTTGTAATAGCATTGCAACTTGCAAAGCTGTGGGCAGAGTATAATTTTAAATAGAAGTTGAAAGTAAGTCACTCAGTTTCTGGCTCATGTAGAGGAAAGTTTCCATGGTGTTCCAAGGAAATGTGTAATCTCTAAGACGGCTGAATGAAATTTCAGGCCTTCTCTTTTAGAAGATAGAATTAATTTTAGAGCTCTGTGATTTTGCTTTGACTATGTAATTGATTGGCTACAAAACAAATTTCAAAGTAGTACAATATTTCCAAAATTTCTGCATTACTTTAGCTTAATTTAATATTAAAGTGAAATTTGAGGTTCACTAAATTATGGAGTAGGTTTGTTATCACTGATGATGATGACCTGTAGAGTTATATTAAAGGAGTTGTGCTCTGAGACAGTACTGACTTTTCAAAAATTGTTGATTTTTTTTTTGTGGCAATCAGTTCTTGAGGAAGAGATGGTAACTGTCTTAATAATATTAGGGACAGTCTTAAAAAAGCGTAGTGTTCCAGATTCTTTAAAGATGGTTTTAGTTGTACGTGTTTTCTTAAAGATTTTATTTTTTTTTGCCTTTTTCTCCCCAAAGCCCCCCAGTACATAGTTGTATATTCTTCGTTGTGGGTCCTTCTAGTTGTGGCATGTGGGACGCTGTCTCAGCGTGGTTTGATGAGCAGTGCCATGTCCATGCCCAGGATTCGAACCAAGGAAACACTGGGCCGCCTGCAGCGGAGTGTGCGAACTTAACCACTAGGCCACGGGACCAGCCCCTGTACGTGTTTTAAAATGCAGTTTTTATAAAAATTTAAAAGAACTAAGGTTTAACTAACTTCAAAGGCCACTTGATTCTTTAGAATTAAACTTAAATACTTTTCCTGTGAAGTTTTGTTTTTGTATTAGAAGAACAATACATAATTATGAAAAATCTGAAAACGGAAAAGCAAAAGAAAGAAAAAATATTCTTATCTACCTAGCGATATATTGTCAAGGCCTTGGCTCTGTATACTTAGAGAAAATATACTTTTTTTTCGTATTTTTACGTATGTACCTGTATGTTTTATGTGTCATTTAACATTTGTGTGCCTTCCGTAAGATAACAGCGTACTATGAGTGCCTGTTACTTACTATATATCTGTGAAGTTTAT